TGGAAGGAGAGGAGAGGGGGAAGGAGAGGAGAGGACAAGAGAGGGGGGAGGAGAAAAGAGAGGAGGAGAGAGGAAAGAAGTGGAAGGAGAGGAGATAGGTCCAAGGAAGTAGAAGAGGCGAAAGGAAGCAGGAAAAGAGGACGTAAATAAGGAGAGGAGGAAACAGAGGAGAAGGTGGCGACACCTCCTTCTGGAAGGACAGCACTGAAGAGGCGGAGCTTGTTAGTTGTTCATCAGCCAATCAAAGAGGAGATTTCAGAGAAGACGAAGCAGCGAAACTTGATCAGTTTTTTTATTTCTTAAAATCTGGTCCTACCTGTGTGTGTGTGTGTGTGTGTGTGTGTGTGTGTGTGTGTGTGTGTGTGTGTGTAGAAAAGGAGGGGGGTGAAATGATGGATGGATGAAGCATGAAGCAGAGAAGGAATCAAACATTTAAAAACGCGCACTGTGACCTACTTCCTGGTGGTGATTGGTTGCCCGTACCTCTGCCTTCGTCTTTCCTGAAGCCGTAGCCGGAGGAGCCGCTCCCTCGTTCTTGCCTTCGTCCCTCTGCGATGTCTACCCTCAGTGACCTGTCACCCAGCAGCTGCAGGGGTCAGAGGTCACAGACTGAAGACCGAGCTCCATCCAACATCGTACAAATCTCCTTCCCAATACTTCACATTAATTTATTCAAAGGTTTTTTTTCCATAAAATTATTCAAATATTCATGAATTTTATGACTTTCAGAGTATCAGGCTTCATGTTTCGATCAGGAATCTGACGACTTCCGTCATACTGTAGAAATAAATACGTGATATTCATATACTCACAGCACCATCATACGTCAGAGCTTCTTTTAGAGATTCCAGGTCTTCAAATTCCACATAACAAAAACCTGAAGGGACGAGAAACAGAGGTCACGTCGTCTCTTCATTGATCTGAGCGTTACAACATCTTCTGTTTGAAACTGAGTGAAACTCTTCACATTAAAAATCTTCATGTTCAAACACAAAGACAACAAGCAGTAACACAACAGACAGACACGGAAACAGAAACATGTGTTTTTCTTCTTCCTGTAAAACCTTGAGGTGGACTGCAGCAGCTCTGGAGCTTTCATTCATGTCACATGATCTTCTTCAGCTCTTTAAAGCTCCTGTGTGCAAGATTTAGGTGAAAGGATCTATCGGTAGAAATTGAATAGAAAAAAATCCTAGTGATGTTTTCACTTGTGTTGAAGTGAAAATTTTAAATTTGTGCTGAGGAGATGAGGGAATTTTCATTTTTCAGTGAACTATCCCTTTAACCATTAACTGAGAAGATTAATGTTCAGAACCAACAAGCATCCCTTTCAAAATAAATCCTCTGACCTTTGAACTTGTCCGTCTCTTTGTCTCGAACCAATCGGACGCTGCGGAGCTTGAGCTCTTTGAAGATGATGTCGATGTCTCCTTGAACCGCGTAGAACGGCAGGTTTCCCACGAACGCTGTGAACGGAGGCTCTGATGGCAGCTCCTTCTGCTTCTTGGGACCACAGGGGCCTCCAGGGCCAGAGCCGCCACGGGGCCTGGGAGGGTGGGGGAATCAGAGAGGATCAAGGGATACAGAAAAAAAGAGCATGGTGAGATGTGGAGTACAACCAAAGTAAAAATTATGTGAAAATCTGAATAAAACCACATTAAGTTCGCAAAAACTGTTTTCTGCGATAAAAAACCCTAAAAATAATCAATTAAACACACACATATAT